CACGCTGCTCTTGATGCAGCCCAGGATACGGTTGGCTTTCTGGGCTGCAAGCGCACATTGCCGGCTCATGTTGAGCTTCTCATCCACCAGTACCCCCAAGTCCTTCTCCTCAGGGCTACTCTCGAGCCACTCTCCACCCAGCCTGTACTTGTGTTTGGGATTGGAACCGTGTCCCCGGAGTGGGACTATTAGAGATAGTTCACTGTCGCTGGCTGAAGAAATGCAAAGCAATGGCAGCAGTCATGCTCTGCGGAATATGACTGATATCTGAGAGTAAATTATTTTGTCATCATTTGGTAATAACTTTGAAACTTTAGCTCAAATATCTGTATGCTTTGCATATTGGCAAACGATAGGTAACAGCGCAGAATAACAAGTTACCATTGTAATTGACTGTGTATGTTTTATTAGGCTCAGATTGTAGTTAATCTCCTCACTGAGCTACGTAAATTAAAGCCAGCTTTGGATAATCACATCCCTTTAGTCAGAGGAGGAAAAAGCCTGGCAGGTACAGAGGGCAGGTCAGATCAGAGATGCCGGAACATACATCTGTAAGTTGGGAAAGGTAAATCTGGAGCAGCCTTTCCCAGCCGTGACTCAAAATGCCGTAGTTTAAACCACTTTAGGATCACCCGCTCCTGCTTTGGGACTTCCTGTGTCCATGGGATTGCAGTGACCATGAAATGGTCGAGTTCAGGATCCTGCATGGAGGAAGCAGGGCGATAAGCAGGATCAAATCCCTGGACCTCAGGAGGGCTGACTTTGCCCTCTTCAAGGAGCTACTGGGAGGAATCCCGTGGGCCAGGGCTCTCGAAGGCACGGGGGTCCATGAGTGCTGGTCGCTTTTTAAACAACACTTCTTCCATGCACAGGAGCAATGCATCCCCCTGAGAAAGAAATTTAGCAAAGGAGGCAGGAGACCTGCATGGTTAAACAAGGAGCTTCTAGCGGAGATCAGGCAGAAGAGAAAGGTGCATGGCATGTGGAAAGAGGGACAGGCCACTTGGGAAGAGTACAGAAACGTAGTGAGAGCATGCAGGGATGCGACGAGGAAGGCCAAGGCTCACCTGGAATTGAAGCTGGCAAGTGAATGCCTTCGTTGCTTCAGTCTTCAGTGCTAAGACTGGCCCTCAGTAATCCCAGGCCCCGGAGGTAAGAGAAGAAGCCTACAGAGAGGACGACTTTCCCTTGGTCAAGGAGGACTGTGTGAGGGATCGCTTAAGCGATCTGGATGTCCACAAATCCATGGGCCCCGATGGAATGCACCCACGAGTGCTGAGGGAGCTGGCGGATGTCATTGCTGAGCCACTCTCCATCATCTTTGAGAGGTCCTGGAGGACAGGAGAGGTGCCCGAGGACTGGAGAAAGGCCAATGTCACTCCAATCTTCAAAAAGGGCAAGAAGGAGGACCCAGGGAACTACAGGCCACTAAGCCTCACCTCCGTCCCGGGAAAGGTGATGGAGCAGCTTATCCTGGAGGCCATCATCAAGCAAGTGGAAGAAAAGAAGGTTATCAGGAGTAGTCAGCATGGATTCACCAAGGGGAAATCATGCCTGACCAATCTAATACCTTTCTACGATGACATGACTGGCTGGGTAGACGAAGGGAGAGCTGTGGATGTTATCTACCTTGACTTCAGCAAGGCTTTCGACACAGTCTCCCATGATATCCTCCTGGGGAAGCTGAGGAAGTGTGGGCTGGATGAGTGGTCGGTGAAGTGGATAGAGAACTGGCTGAATGGCAGAACTCAGAGGGTTGTCATCAGCGGCGCTGAGTCTAGTTGGAGGCTGGTGACAAGTGGTGTCCCTCAGGGGTCAGTACTGGGCCCAGTCTTGTTTAACTTCTTCATCAACGACCTGGATGAAGAGTTAGAATGTACCCTCAGCAAGTTTGCTGACGACACCAAACTGGGAGGTGTGGTAGATACACCAGAAGGCTGTGCTGCCATTCAGCGTGACCTGGATAGGCTGGAAAGCTGGGCAGAGAGGAACCTGATGAGGTTCAACAAGGGCAAGTGCAGGGTCCTGCACCTGGGGAGGAACAACCTCATGCACCAGTACAGGCTTGGGGTGGACCTGCTGGAGAGCAGAGAGGGACCTGGGTGTCCTGGTGGACGACAGGTTAACTATGAGCCAGCAGTGTGCCCTGGCTGCCAAGAAGGCCAATGGGATCCTGGGGTGCATCAAGAAGAGTGTGGCCAGCAGGACAAGGGAGGTTCTCCTTCCCCTCTACACTGCCCTGGTGAGGCCTCATCTGGAGTACTGTGTCCAGTTCTGGGCTCCCCAGTTCAAGAAGGATGAAGAGCTACTGGAGAGAGTCCAGCGGAGGGCTACAAGGATGGTGAGGGGACTGGAGCATCTCCACTACGAGGAGAGGTTGAGGGAACTGGGCTTGTTCAGCCTGAAGAAGAGAAGGCTGCGAGGGGACCTTATAAATGCCTACAAATATCTGAAGGGTGGGTGTCAGGAGGATGGGGCCAAGCTCTTTTCAGTGGTGCCCAGTGACAGGACAAGGGGCAATGGGCACAAACTGAGGCACAGGAAGTTCCGTCTGAACATGAGGAGGAACTTCTTCCCTCTGAGGGTGACGGAGCACTGGAACAGGCTGCCCAGGGAGGTTGTGGAGTCTCCTTCTCTGGAGATATTCAAGACCCGCCTGGACAAGGTCCTGTGCAGCCTGCTGTAGGTGACCCTGCTTCGGCAGGAGGGTTGGACTAGATGACCCACAGAGGTCCCTTCCAACCCCGCACATTCTGTGATTCTGTGATTCTGTGATTCTGTGATGGGATTCAGGGATGTACTCAAAGCTGTTAATAGACAGAAGCCTGCAGGCCAAAAACCCCAGAAAATTGGATCAAATCATGTATATCCTGCATATGTGTTTTGTACATCCTGCACGTGGTTTTCCCTTCAAGAATGAGGGAGAGGCTGAGGCCCCAAAGAAGCATGCAGTACGTGCTGGAGGGGTAGGGCAGAAGCTGTTAGGGCAACAGCAGCTGCAGCTGGAGCTGTATTGGAGGAAGGTGCTGGTGGGTGATGCTCTGCGCATAGCGGTCTCCTGCTTCGAGGCGGTCCTGACCTCTCCCTGCCCCTCGTGCTCTGTCAGGCTTTGCTTTCTTCTGCTGCGGATGAAGCATGGATGGGACTGGCCAGCTGATGTGGCCCAAAGTGTGCTTCCCAGAGAAGGGATTTAACCTGTTTACATGCTTTCATCTTTTTCATACAAAAAAATAGAGGAAAATACTCTCGAATTCAGTTCTTGCTGTCTTTGAGAATTTTACCTGTGAAAAGTCATGTTTCTAAACTGAGCAAGAGATTGTCATCCCCACCCACACTGCTTTTTCACTGACCCTCCAAGATCACCATGCTCAAAGTCTTGGATTTTAATGATTCACCGTGGAATCCTACCTCATTTGCTGCAAATGGTTTCTTTTGTGTGCATCCTCAGATGAATAAATGCGGGACGCAAGCTCCGGTGTGGCTGTCGCTGAAGTCTGAATCCCTGCCGGTACCTGGTGAGAGCAAGAGGCTCACGGCCTGCGCTACCTGGCAGGTCTTCTTCGGGGGCACCAAGGACTGCTGCTTGTTTCGGATACCCATCGCCGTCAGGAATTGCGGCGACTTTTTTGTGTATCTCCTGCAGCCTACTCAAGGATGCATGGGCTACTGCGCGGAAGGTGAGGATCAGCAAAGTATTTATCAGTAAGATTGCCTATGCCTCTCTGGTGGTGTGTTCAAAGGTCCTGGTATTGCAACGCACATCTCGGTGACCTTGCGAGTCAAGCATCGCTCCCAGTAAGATGCAGAGCGTGTAGAAAATAAATCAGTGGCAGTCCAAGGTGTTCCTGAAGAAGAATAGCTATTATTATCAGTGCAAAATGTAATCTGGTGTGTATTACTGAAGTGTTCTTTGCTTGGTTACAGTTCCCACGTAACCTTTCCTACTGTCTTTGGCTCCACTTTGGCTTGAAGTTGCACAGCTAGTGAGAAGAGGCCTCTCGGTTTTATAGATGCACTGTATCCCGGATACTGTATCTAAGGTCTGTTCTTATCTTCCGTTATGCAGTATCCCCTCAAAAAAGATAATTCTGAAACTCTGGAAGGAAAAAAAAACCAAACTGATAACATCTTTTTCACGACATTTATATAATTACTCTCGTCAGAAATAATTTTGAGCCTACTACAAGCGATCTAACCTCTGTTCGGTAGCTAGGAAACAAAGGAATAGCAGAAAGCAATTGCTCACTCAGTTAAACCTTCTGAACTTCGGACCATATTCAGGTGCATACAGATTTAGTCAGAAAAGATAATACTTTCTCAAAAGGAAAAAATTACCTTTCTACTTTCCTTTCAGCATTTTCGGACTGAGACATGACACACTGAGAAATTAGGGTTGTCACCTTTCAATCAGGCAAAACTCAAGCTTAAATAAATGTTAAAGAGAGAGATATCTATTTTCTTATCTTTATATATATTTTAACATTCCCACATGAAGAAAAGGGAGGAAAAAAGGCTCAAAGAAAGTGAGATTAATTCACTACTTGAAATAAAAAATATCCCTTAAAATAAATGAAACTGCTCTCTGATTTCCATGATTCTTTCTCAGAGATTACTTTTTAACTGAATACAGTCATTTTCCAGTTCAAGCTTTTTTTAAACTATAAGATTTCCGCTACCCTTTTCTGAAGAAATTTTTTACCAGTACCTTTTGGGGGATTAGTTTTGTCCCTTCTATTGATCCTTTCTACTGATCCATACCTGTTTAGTAATGTAAATCTGCCTGCACTTTTCATAACAAAAAAGTTCATCTCTTCCCGTCTATCCCAAATCAACAACCTTCTGCCTTTTTCTTACTACTGCTGTTGAAGCTTTCACTATTTTCCTAAAGATTTCAGTGAGGTCCAGCTCTCCCACGTCTTTAACTTCTTGCCTTTAGGGTGTTTTTGCAGTGTCATGTATTGGATGGAAAAAAAGCAAAGCTGAAGTTTTTTACTGGAGGTTGTCACTCACTGTCGTAAATTCAGCTGTGCTGGTTGCACCAGAGGAGCCCCTACGTGTCCCCGGAGCTGGGTCCAGCCGGCACCGCCACGGCTTCCTGCTGGGGGCGATCCCCCAGTGCGTGCTTGCAATTCTGCTCACATCCTCGCACGAGACGAACACCTCGCTTTGTCCTTCTGGAATAATTTCCTGCAGAAAGTCATGATGCGAGCGCAGTTTGAGGCAGCTTCCCTTAGAAACCAAAGAGAAAATGTTATCAACAACTGGCCCTTATTCATATTTTAAGTAATTTTTTCTTTTTCTTACCTCTTATTTTTCACCCTGGACAGACGTTAACATATTGGTTCTTCATTCTGCTATAACAGCCTCATACCTTATTCTTTTGGGCTTCCATAACATTTTTCTACACTCCTCCAAAAAAGTTGCTGAATTTGTCATTTCAAAGCATCTGAGACAGCTTCATGTTCCATTTGAGTCTGAGTCTGTAGAGATGAAAGAACGTCACCCTACAGTCTTATACATCTTTTTGTTTCCACTTGCTAGGTGAGTTTAACAGGAAGAAAAGTTTCAGATTTCTTTACGTGTTGAATCTTATAGAAAGCAGTCTGTACTTTTAGACAAATGACATTATTCTGGGCAGAAGGAGAATACATTGGGCATTGAAGCATATAGGCGTATAGAATATATGGGTTCGTCGCAGAACAGGCTGGAAACGATCTTCACAGCATGGCAGTACGGGCTGGGTGAGCTCTGAGAGTGTTTACTTCTGCAACGCAATGATTTCTCATATCTCTTCTGTACTTGTCGTAAAACTTGGATCAAAAGGCTGTGCTTCAGGGGAATGCAAAGCTGATGGCCTTTGCCAGAGTAATTAATTTGTATTAATCCAAGTGCTTCACTTCGATAACATTTCTATTAATGCAAAAAAAAAAAAAAACAACATAAAACCAGGTCAAATACTGTAACAACAATGGGTAGTCAGTACACAATTAGCAATTTTTGCATTTTGTATGAAATGCACTTTCTTGCTTGCATAGTTAATAGTCAAATCACAAGAATACAAAATGTAGCATTTCTCCATGCTTAGTTATATTGAAATCTTGCTGAGTGAACAACTGTATTATTAAAGTAACATTTTCTCCTACATCCTTCTTTCGTTTTCTTCTTCCAGACAAACTCACACGCCTGGCTTTGCAACCAGCGATAACTCCTGAGCTTGTGCAAGGTCGTGTCCACCTGAAGTGCACTTACAGCCGCCCCTCCTCCAAGCTGCCGCTGCAATATGTGGTGGTCTGGTCGCGCCTGTCCACCCCTGGCACGAAAGAGCAGATTCAGCATGACACCACCCTGCAGCCATTTTCCTACGTCGAGATGAACGGCGTAAATCTCAGATTGGGAGACACGGTAATGCCACCCCACCTTCAGCAAAAAAAGTCAAACGCTCATGGGGATCAAATCCTTTTCTTTAATCATAGAATCACAGAATGGTTTGGGTTGGATGGGACCTTAAAGATCACCCAGTTCCAACCCCCCCCTCCATGGGCAGGGACACCTTCCGCCAGACCAAGTTGCTCAAAGCCCCATCCAACCTGACCTTGAACATTTCCAGGGATGGAGCATCTACCACCCGCTCCCCCCCCCTCCCAGGGGGGGCCAGCCACAGCGTCTCTGGGCAACCTGTGCCAGGGCCTCACCACTCTCAGAGTAAAGAATCTTTGATGCGTTTTTATTAGTGCTGCTTCTTATACTTACATGTACTGCAGAAAGAAATACTGACGCTGTTTTGCAACGAGATTTTTCAGTAACGCTTACCAGATCCACGATCTGTAACATTTCTTTGAATTGCAGTGGGTTCACAGAAGCTATCCATTTTACTATTTTCTGAAGGCAACCTGAATATTTGCACTTACATTACAGCTTGAATGCCACGCAGTTGGCATAAGTAGTAGGTACATGTGCTCGAGCCAATTTTTGCTTAGTATTTTTTTGTATCTTGCAGCAGCAAGAATTTGCAGTAGAGGCAGGCTCAGCTATATGCACTCAGTAATTTTTATACTCACGGACCAGAGACACAATAACATCTTTTCACAGAAAAGAAAGACAGTACATTTTCAAATAGAGGGAGGTTTATTTTATGGTCTTTTTCATGGTGTTCTGCCTCTCCGATTCCAAATTCTTGGTTCAATAGCATACTGAAAGATAGAGTTCATTACAAAACAATCTTTAAGAAGTATATTTGATGGCTTACATAGCAACACAGATCTAGTTTCAACAACAACAAAACAGAAGCCAATGCAAGATGTGAAAAAAATTGACTTGTGTATGAATTCATGGCCTTTCATGGTACAGAAACAAGACTTTCAAAGTTAAATTAGGTTCATAACTTTTATAGGCAGAGAGCCATTAGTGATGCTACAGTGAACTGAAAGAATAAACAGGGATAATGGCCTTGTGTTAAAAGTAGGCTGGAAACAGTCTTGGCATTTTCCAGCTCTTTGAGATATTTAAGACATTTAAGAAATGTGAATAAGCTTCTTCCAGTTCTTGAAAGGATGAGTCATTTATAACAGTAGCACAATCTAGACAGTCTTTTCTCATTTCTGCTCCTAATTATGCCTTCTGAGTTCAGAATCTGACTGATGCTGCCCTCACTTATATTATAACACGAGACAATTCTGCCAGTTTAAGACAAGTTTGTGTTACGAAGAGATATTTTCGTCAAAATAATTTCACATGCAATCACTTTGAATGTAGTTTTAACAATCCCGAGGGATTAAGAGAAAATATAGTTCTGTTAACTAGTAGCATGACCAAATCTTTATAAGACCGTTTTTATTATACTAAGTTTTCAGTAAGCCCTTCTTTGTCCTCTGCTGAAATTATATATTTAATTTAGCAGGTTTAGTGAGACTAAAATGTTCTCTTCCTTGCTAGACTGTTTTTTTAAAGGTCTTCATGGCCTGTTTGCCTAATTATAATTATCCATAAATCATCACTGATGAAAACCAAGCAATGCAGCCTCAGCTGTAACTGGGAATTCAGATTTACATAATAAAGATTTTAAAAAGCACTTCACTGTGTTTGCCATCCAACTCTGGCTCTCTAATAAGAGTCACAAAGGGGCAGCGTTTCCTTTCACCTCCAGTGGTGTAAACCTGAAGCAACTTATTATGTGTTGGTAGGGCTACTGCAAAGGAAAAGTGATGCCACTAAAGCAGAGTCAGAACCCGGGGACCAAACTCCACCACACAGAGGCAGTTCATAACCTTCCATCCACCCAGGAAAGATGCAGGTGAAGGGCTTTTTTCTTGGGCAGCTTTAAAGGGAGGCCAGATCCATTGTCTACCTGGACTTGTGCAAAGCATTTGACTCTCTCCTACATGACATCCTTGTCTATAAATTGGAGAGACATGGATTTGACAGATGGACCGCTCAGTGGATAAGGAATTGGCTGGATGGTCACACTCAAAAGGCTTGTGGTCAATTGTTCGATGTTCAGGTGGAGACCAGTGACGAGTGGCTTTCCTCAGAGGTCAGCATTGGGATGGACACTGTTTAACATCTTTGTCAGTGGCATGGACAGTGGGACTGAGGGCACCCCCAGCAAGTTTGCCAATAACTTTAAGCTGTGTGGCGCAGTTGACACGCTGGAGGGAACGGATGCCATCCAGAGGGACCATGATAGGCTGGAGAGGTGGGCCCGTACGAAACTCATGAGGTTCAGCAAGGCCAAGTGCAAGGTCCTGCACATGGGTCGGGGCAATCCCAAGCACAAATACAGGCTGGGAAAAGACTGGATGAAGAGCAGCCCTGAGGAGAAGGACTTGGGGGTGCTGGTTGAATAGAAGCTCAACACAACCTGCCAGTGTGCACTCACAGACCAAGAAGCCAACCATACCCTGGGCTGCATCCCCAGCAGTGTGGCCAGCAGGACGAGGGAATGGATTCTGCCCCTCTGCTCTGCCCTGGTGAGACCCCACTGGGAGTCCTGCGTCCAGCTCTGGAGCCCTCAGCACAGGACAGATGTGGACCTGTTGGAGCAGGTCTAGAGGCGGCCACAAAAATGATCCAAGGGCTGGAACACCTCTCCTATGAGGAAAGGCTGAGAGAGCTGGGGCTGTTCAGCCTGGGGAAGACAAGGCTGCAGGGAGAACTTAGAGCAGCCTTCCCGTACCTGAAGGGGCCTACAAAAAAGCCAGAAGAGGGACTTTTTACAGGGGCACATAGGGACAGGACAAGGGGTAATGGCTTTAAGCTGAAAGAGGGTAGGTTAAGATTAGATATCAGAAAGAAATTCTTCACTGTGGGTGGGATGGCACTGGCCCAGGTTGCCCAGGGAAGCTGTGGCTGCCCCCTCCCTGGCAGTGTTCAAGGCCAGGTTGGACGGGGCTTTAAGCAGCCTGCTCTGGTGGAAGGGGTCCCTGCCCATGGCAGGGGGGTTGGAGTGAGATGATCTTTAAGGTCCCTTCCAACCCAAACCATTCTATGATCCCCACTGATAAATGCCATACTAGAGAGGAGGCAATGAACTGGGGGCACTTTATATTTCCCTTTCCCCTTCTCCGTGCACAGCCCACCGGTAGCACCCCTGTGGCTGCGCACTGCCAGTGTGCATGGGTGGCTTTCAGAGAAGGGTTTGTCCCCCAGGATGCAGAATTTACAGCATTTTGAAAACTGCTTGCTTTTTTTTAACCTACTCTTTGTCTACCTGCACACAGCCTGAATTTGGTCTCAATGCTTTTATAGCCTGAAATCAGCACCTTCTGTGTTCAATTCTTGATAAGAGAACTACAGCCAAGTGAGAAGTATTTTTTTTTAATCATCTTTTAGGTGATTGATATCTACACTATTTTTTGTCTGTCAAAATGTCACCAGGTAATAGGTTAGTCACATAATAGAATACCTATTGATATATTTTAATACGCAGTCAAACCTTGGAGAAGAGCTGAGAATTACCGGCCAACATTTCTGAACTTGTATTGACTAAACAGCCAGTTATTTTTTAATAGCCATCATGTGTGCTTTTCTCCCCCATCTTTGGGCTCCAGTTTTGTTATTTCAGACAGTAATGTTGGCAGCATAATATCCACGAAACTACTGCAGGCTTAAATAAATCTATAACATACCGCTATTTCTATATAGACACTGAAAGAAGCCTACTCCATCTGATACGAAAATCCTGGCATTCCTAAGCCTTATTTATGCGATAGTGACAGAGGTCATTTCATTCCTCGAGGCACAGCCATCTATAAATTATAGCGGCACACTGTGAGTAATGAGTTATGCTAAGAAAGAAAGGTGTTTAGAAGAAAACCGTGCAGATTTTGCTCACCACAGCAATCCAAAAGTTCAGACAGCGAGGAGCAATTGTCACCGTACCTAAACTATGATGTGCACAGTAAAATAAAAATGTTTAAGTAAAACTGGCCTTTCCGAGCTCTGTGCTAGAAGTGGCCATTTCACGTGGCACTCTGCAACAGCAGAAGAATGTGCCCCAGCCAAAAAGACTGTAAATTAGTGCCTTCGTATAGAAAATAACTAATTTTAACTCACAAGGGAAGAGGAGTGAATTTTCTCCCTGCTTAAATATTAGTCCCATTCCAACCACTGGACTTGACAAAATCAACAACGGAAAAAGAAGACCTGCCCATTTGTAGGTCACACCCCAGTTCACAATTTCTTTCTCAACCTTCAGGTAGAAAATGAGGAGCACCCCCCCACACAGAAACAGAGCTCTGGGTGGACTTGGCCAGAGACTTTAAAGCAGAAAGGGCCAGAGAAATGATGAGCAAAACTCTGCAGCTGATAAGTCACCTCACTACTACCCTGGCAAAATTTCTTTCCTTAGTAGATGAATGACCTACAGTCAGCCTCCACATACTGTCTGGCCGTTTGGCACCTGGAAAGAGCTGCCGCCTTCATCTATAGCGAGTAGCAGAGTGGCTAGAGCTGGGCTTCCCGCGGTGTCAGGTCACACTGATGCACCAGCTCCCTCCCTTCTGCAGCCAACGAGCCCTTTCACAGGGAGCGATTTGTGTTCAAAAGCTTTAAGGTTTAGTTTATTAATTAACTCAAAGTCAGATTCTCCCTGCTTTCCCCTTCCTGCTAACCCTTCTGGAAGGACTTTCCAGAGACCTTGCTCCTACCCCTCTCTGCAAATACCTACAGCCAGATCATTTCTTCAAGCTAATGAGAACTACTTTTTTTTTTCCCCTCTGGAAATGCCATCCTTCAGCTCTGCTCATCCTTCGCTCTTTTCATCAAGGCTGTAAACCACAGCTCCCTTCCACACTCCCCAGCTCCCACCAGAGTGACTCCTCGAGGCTTTTCTAGCCCCAGCCCATTAGAGTTTAATAGAGCAGACAACGCAGCTCAGAGGCCTTGATAGCCACCGCGAGACACCCTTTCCCCTGGCGTGATCAATTGCCTGCCCAAGCCTTCACCTGCAAGCCATGAGTGTGGCTCAGGGACTCTCACCCTTGCAGCCCCAGCCTGCCTTTTGACATGGATGATGTAGCTCGGAGGGTTGATCTAATCCTGGAGTTAACAGGGTTAATCACCCACAGCTTAGGCACCCGCGCCTTACCAGCAGCACACAGGCTTCCCTGCCCAGTGAATGGGAAGAAGTGGGTACTCCTAAATGGTACCTTAGGTTGAGAAGGCAGCTTCCCACACGTGGCCAACATAAATTCCTGACCAGAACAGCATCCCTGAATTCCCACATCTCTCAGAAGATTGGATGTCTGAACTGGGAAAGTGCCTCTATCTACTTTTTAATCCAGACCTTCAAGTCCTGCTCAGATGTGCCTGGCTGTATGGAGTCTTTGAAAGATCACTACCAGTAAAAGTAAATATTTCAACTTTAAACCATCGCTGTTGTCACTGTTGGGCCTCTGGCATTACAATATAGCTCAAGTGCTCGCTGGAGAGATGGGAAATGGGTAGCTGGTCCTCCCAGCTGTGAGTTAGGTGCATGTCCTGCCCTTCCCAAGGGAGCATCCGACTCCCAGGGCATAGGCTGCACTAGGAGATGAAGCAGAGACCACAGCCAGGGACCAGCATGTGCATTTGCTGATTTTCTCTAGTGACTGATGAGGTAAAACATGCGTGTGGTCCTGATGGGCAGACCCAGACTCAGTACTCCCATCTGCCAGCTCTCCCTATTTTGAAGACAAGTACCACTGCCCCGGGATGCTGTTGAGATGGGTGGTGGCACCATTTCTGCCAGTGCTTGGAGAAGTGTGCAGAAGAGGTCGGCCTTGCAGAGAGCTCCTAAAATAATCTGGCAAATTTAGGAGCCTTCACAGGTACTGACTGAAGAGCAGGGATAGGTTTTGATCACAAAACAAGTATCTCTTCTTTTGCCTTTGGGAACCCAACCTCTTATCTGAGCACGGCCTGGAGAAGCTGATGAGGCCAGAGGCACGGCCATGGAAGCATACCCCCCCGTGCCCCTACCTGTGCGTGCGCTGCCTTTGAAGATGGCAACAAATGTGAATGAGACTTTCTTTGAGCTTTTCTGTCTCTGCCCTCAGCCCCGTGTCTCTCACCACAAGCTCAAGCTGCCACAGATGATCCCTGTGCTACATTCAGCAGTAATTGGGGACACGGCAAAGGGTGAAACTGGAGGCGGTTTTACATTTGAAATGAGTATAAACAATTGATTTGGGCTAGCTGTCAATTCTGAGAGCTCTGAAGAAAACCCACATTTTGATCTGCAAGTTGTTAGAGGGAAATTTGCCGGAGGTGGTGACAGGTCCTAGGATTAAAATACTCTCTCAATTTGTTTCCCAGACTACCCAACCCCCACCAAATTAATGACTGAATTCTGCTTTTAGCTAAACATTCTGCTCATGAGGCTCACGGCAAAGTGGGAAGGTACCTGACTGATAACACATAAGGGTGGAAATCTGCTCTAACACACAGGAAAGGACAAATTTCTTAGCTACCAAGGCCGCCTTCTATCAGAATTTTGTGCCTGAAAGTATTTTTCTGCCCTATGGGAAGATCTGCTGGTGCGTGGGGGACAGGGAACAGCCCACACCCAGATGCAATCCGGTCATCCCGTCCAAGGGCACCCTTATATTTCTGTGCCTTTAAAAGGGATGATGAAAAATAATAATTAGATTTTTTTTAACAGATCCGATGAGTCTGTGGAAAAATACTGCCTAACCTGTCATGGCCATCAGCATACTGCTGTCAGTGATGCTTTTATCTCTTTGCTTTAAAAAGGCTGCATCCGGAGATGGGGGAGGGGAAGAAGGGAAAGAAAAAGTTGATTATTGAACTGGAGAAAAAGAGCTAGTATTTAGCTGAAGGCAAAAAAAGCCTCCTCGGAGTGACTATCATAATAATTATGTGACAAACTGTCAACCTGTAGCTCAGTAGCCGATGAACATATCTGCTGATTGTGAAGTGAAGTGTGCACCTAACAAGGTAAAGGCACTACAAGGGGAGGAATGATATGAAAGACAGAAATAAAATGTAGCTCATGACGGCTGTCCGTACATTTCGAATTTGTAAAGTTTGTGCTAATCTCCAAAAGTGCTGGAGATAGAA